AAAGAATTTGTCTGACCCTGATGAGTTAAACAATTGATACTTGGTACCTTGTAGATGTGAAATGAGATGGATTTAACCTTTTTGTAGTCAACTTGTCACCTTAAGCCTTTAGGGGTAAGTTATCAAGAAAAGAGATTGATTTTGAGAATCAAAAGCCCAGAAACACATTTCAGAATATAGTTGTGACTGGGGCCTGGGGCAGCGTCATACCCCTGAGTCTGTTTAGAGCAGGAAGGCCACCATTTTGGCCCTCACTTGCTCCTCCCTTGTACCCTGTGGGAAGCATCATTTGGAATGATGATCCTAGGCCTTTCTCAGGATCCTGAATAAAGCTTCTTTGTCCTTCAAACATCACTCAGGAGTCTCACTAAAAACCCAGGAGGGGGCTAGAGAGATGGCTCAGTGGTTAAAAGCACTGGCTACTCTTATAGAGGACCCAGGTTTGGTTCTCAGCACCCACATGGCAACTAACAGTCATCCATAACTCTAGTTCCAAGGAATCTGATGCCTTTTTCTGGCCTCTAAGGGCTTTGTATGCACATGGTACGTATATACATGCAGGCAAAACACTCATACATAAAATTTTTTAAAAAGGAGGGGAAGGAGCCGGGTGTGGTGGTACATGCCTTTAATCCCAGCACACAGGAGGCAGAGGCAAACAGATCTCTGTGAGTTCAAGGCCAGCCTGATCTATATAGTATGTTCCAGGCCTGCTGGACCTACAGGAAGACCCTGTCTCAAAAAGACCAAAAAATAAAAATTAAAAAATAGGCCAGGCATGGTGGCACATGCCTTTAATCCCAGCATTTGGGAGGCAGAGGCAGGCAGATTTCTGTGAGTTCAAGGCCAGCCTGGTCTCCATAGTGAATCCAGGAGAGCTGGGGCTATAGGGAGACCCTGTCTCGAAAAGACCAAAATAAATAAATAAATTAAATAAATAAATAAATAAATAAATAAAATAAAAAGTGGGGAGGCTCTTGAGTTTGGGATTAGCCTGGGCTATGTAACCTTGTCTAAAAAATAATCCCATAATTCCTCTCCTAAAGGTTACCCACTACTCTAGATCTGACCTTGATCTCTCCCATTGCCTTAATAACAACTTACATAGCACAGGCCTTGTCCCCCATCAGCCATCTGTGGGCTTCATAAGCCCGTCCTCTGAGTCAGCTTGCCTTGTTATGAAGAAAGGACCTGCATGAGTTGAACTGTGTGGCTGCAGGCCAGATACTTCACCCCAGTGAGCCCTAATTTCCCACGCTGTAAGGTGGGGATAATAATCTTTGCCTGCACCTCAGGATTATGTCAGGTGAGATGATAGTCATGAAAATGCTGGGTGGGCAGTCGATCCAGGGTGCAGATGGAGGGTGTGTGTGTGTTTACAGGTGATATCTGAAGCCACAGACAGATGGGCAGGTCTGGCCACTTGGCCAAAGTCAGGTCGTAATTTCAGGATTAGGACTAAGGGTCTTTGGCACTTTGGATATTTCTGTATGTGTGTATACATTTTATTTCTGCAGCACTAGAAATTGAATCCAGGACCCTGTGTGTTTGCTGTGTAAGCACTCTACCAACTGAACTACATCACCAGCACTGTCTTATTTTTAATATCAGTTAAGAGGCTGGGAATATAACTTAGTGGTGGGAACGGAGTGACCAGAGAAACCTCTGAGGTGGTGACATTTGAGCTGAATGACACTGATCTGTAAGAGACAACAGACAGACCAAGTTGGAATTTCTCCTAATTTCTTCCAAGGTGGGAAGCTGTAGCTTCCCAGTTACAGGGGTCTCTGGAGTAGGCAGGATATAGAGGTCCAAATAAAGCGACTGAATTGTAGCAGAGAAGTACTAGGTGATCTGGGGAGGACAAGGAAAAGGAAGCAGGAGACAGGGAGCCACAGAAGCCAGAGTAAGGCCCCTGGCTGATCTGGAAGCCCACTGGGGGCTGTGCCTTCCGTTTACCATTCTGCCAGTCAAAGTGAAGGAGGGGGTAAAGACTAGAAAAAAACCAAACTGACAACAATGTATCAGTTATTTTCTCCTTAAGCAGCTTAAGGAAGGACGGACTTTTTTTAAAAATAATTTATTTATTATTTTTATTTTATGTGTATGAATGTTATGCCTGTATGTAAGTAAGTGCACCCATGTCATGCAATGCCAGCAGAGGACAGAAGAGGCCGTCAGATTCCCAGGAAGGACTTATTTTGAGACATGTTTGAAGACACAGTTCATCCTGGCAAGAAGGCTTGGCTGCAGGAGTGTAGGGAGGCTGCTCATCATGTGCCACAGTCTGGAGGTAGAGAGGGATGGCTGTTGCTCAGCTTGCTTTCTCCTTTGTGTGTGTGTGTGTGTGTGTGTGTGTGTGTGTGTGTGTGTGTGTGTACGTGCATCCATGCATACATGCACACAAGAGGCCAGATCACTTTCCACTTTATTTGAGACAGGATCACTTACTAAACCTGAAGCTATGTCTCCTCAGCGCTGGAGTAACAAGAATGTCTGACCGTGCTTGGCTTTTTACGTGGGTGCTGGTGATTTGAACTCAGGCCCTCATGCTTGCACAGTAACTCATCTCCCAAGCCCCCTTCTCTCTCTCTCTCTCTCTCTCTCTCTCTCTCTCTCTCTCTCTCTTTCTCTTTGAGACAGGGTCTCCCTGTAGCCCCAGCTGGCATGGAACTCACTATTGTAGACCAGGCTGGCCTTGGCCTTGAACTCACAGAGCTCTGCCTGCCTCTGCCTTCTGAGTGCTGGGACTAAAGGTGTGTGTGCCACCATGCCCAGCTCCTTTTCTCTTTTTATTCAATCCGGGACTCAAGCCCCTGGGATGGTATCACCTCCATTCAGGGTGTGTCTTCCTTCCTCCCTGGAAACTAACTCATAGGCAGGCCCAGAAGTGTGTCTAAGTTGGTTGTTCTAAGTCCAATCAAGTTGACAATGAGGA